CAATTGAGAAGACGGGAATCCACAATATTTTCATTTGTTTTAGAGACTGGAGATTTGTTTGATCTTGTGATTATTCCAGTTGCTATTGAAAGAGAAAAAATAGAAAAATAGAAAGATAATGAGATAAAATGATATTTAAATAAGTATCATACAGCATGAGTGTTAATGTAAATATGAGTAACTTACCAGACGATGGTGATGATGATGGAGGCGATGCCGATGATGATGGTGAGGAAGTAGCTGTAATAGTGGCATTGGACGCTGCTGAAGTAGTAATGGCAATTGGATTAGTAGTAGCATTTGTACTTTCTTGGTTATTATCATTATTGTTATTAATATTGTTGTTGTTAACCATATTTATATCATTTGTTTGTGCAGTAAAAACTTCGTGTGGCATCCCACATGAGGATGAAAAACTTTGTAATGGTGATATATTACTCAAGGGACTTCCAGATTCTAGAAAGCAAGATGACACATAACTTTGACCAATTAAAGATGACGGAGACGATGAAGTACTTTGACCAGTTTGTTGTTGTTGCTTTTGTTGTTGCTGTTGCGGTTGATGTTTATGTTGATGTTGATTCTGCTGCTGCTGCTGCTGCTGTTGTTGTTGTTGCAGCTGGTATTGTAATCGAGACTCAATTTTTATATTTGTACTTGATTTATTTGGAGATGATGAAGGTATATATGCACTTATTGGGCTTGCTTCACCAATAATTGTTCCATCATTAGAGATTAACTTCTTTAATTGATGAATAACACCTTCTCGACGGAAGTAAATAGCAAAAATATCAGGTAGCTTTTCCATCAATATGTAAACCATTTGAATAGCACCAGCAACTACTCTAAGATCAGAAGATGGTAACATTGCAGCAATGTGACTTGATACAGCATGATTTTTCAAAACAATTCGCAAAAGATCAGAAGATGAATAATAAATTATTCTCAGCAATGCTCGAATACATTTATGTCGTACTGATGGACCAGCAGAGCTACTATATACTTCATACAAAACACCAAAAAGACTTTTTATGAAAGACTCTGCTAATTCAGGTTCTTCTTTTAAACATTGAATTCGAGCATCATTTTCATTAACATTGCTCATCATCATTGCTTTCATCATAGAAGAATGCGAATTATTATGATTATGCATCTTATTCGGTGGCGTATTATTTGGAGTACTTGAATTATTGCTTGAATTTACATCTTTTCCCATTTCTTCATTTTCAGCTTGTTTACCTGGCGTTGTATCCATTGAATTATTACAAATTTTCAAAGGAGTCTTTGTATCATTTCCAACAATTTTTGTTTTTTTCGTGTTTGATGTTGGTGATTTAGTTGTTGTTGTTGTTGTTACTTGAGATGATGGTGATGATGATGATGATGAGGATGATAGTGGTGGTGTTGTAGGTACTCCTAATGCTGCTGCGGCTGCTGCGGCTGCTGAGGCTGATGTTGCACCTGATATCATCATCATCATAGCTCCAGATAAACCTAAACCAGATGATGGATGATGTTGATGTTGTTCCATCTGAATTATTGACTAGACGTTGAATTAAACGTGAAGTCCCAGTATCTTCATTTATTTGTTGCATCGAATTAAAATCTATCACATATGTACGTCCCATTGTAGTCAAACTCATTTCATCTTCACTTGCCAAATGAGCAGCTTCGATCATTTTACTATCAATAGCACTATAATTATGCCACATTCCTCTATCATCTTTCCATTGCCAAGTAACTCCACTTGGAATCACATTTGTTTGCTTCAACCAATATCCATCAACACTAAATATACCATCAGTTGGTAGCTTTGGCATCAATTCTCCGATAAGTGAAGTTATCTCGTAAAGCTCTTGTGGGCTTCTTGTGGTCAATTCAATATATTCTTTCGTTGCACTTGAACCAACCAATAAATAACGAATTGTATCGGCTATGTCTAAAATTTTGTGTAAATAAAAGAAAAAAATATAATTAGTAAAAAAATATAGAAATAGGAAATTGAATCGCAGTAAAAATTGACTTAAAAAATTAAAGAAAAAATATCATCGACAATAAGCCTAATTGTTAACATATAAAAATAAACTTGACCTAAAAAGATTCATGATTAGTGTGCTTTATTATTCATTGCATTTGCTCCATTCACCATTTTAGGCATTTCCATTTTTATTATTTCTATGTGCTTTGTTTCTATGAGGATAAACTCTGCTTTGAGGGCTGACATAAGATACCCATAAAAAAAGTCTGAGATGATACATTAATATATTGATCATATTTAAATCGAAGAAAAAAAATGAATTAACAAAGATTTAAGGAAATCAGGAATATTTACTTTATAAAACTTTTTCTAAAAGCTAATTAATCAAAAGAATAATATAGTGCATGGAATATTAAATATCAGACGACATAAAGAGAATTCACAAAATTCAAAAATAATTAATCTCATAA